GGACAGTTGACGAGGGTGCAGGCATCGTACTCGAGCTCAATGCCATTGATGAGTGTAAGGAAGTGGAGCAGGAGACAAGATATCGCATGCTGCTCGTTAGGTAGTGGATCAGCCTAGCTAGAAAGAGTAGGGTGGAGGAAACAAATGGACCTGCGTATAAACATGGGTACTTAGGTTAGTGTGGCAGGATACAATATCCAAACGGCCATACAAAAGATCATCGGGTCATTTGAACATTATTATATACTTTAATTAAGGACTGCAATATCATAATTTATAGTTGAGGAGGTTATGCAGCCAACCCTTGATATGTAAGTGGATATATAGGCTTTTTAATATGTCACGTCAACGAAACCACCTTCAAAATGACCTCAGGGAATTATTTAGACGGTTTTCAATATCTTAAGTGGTAGAATACCCAGATTTATAGGTAAGAAGGAAAAGTAGACAACTACTGATAATTTGGGGGATTAAGTACACTTCTTCCTATGTGCACACAAACGATACATGCCTAAGTAATTTTTTTAGGAAAACAGGAAGGCGTCCCCCTACTGTGCTTTTATTGAATTTTAAAGTAAATACAAAAGTCTTACAAAGAGCCACATGAAACAAAAAAGGAGACAAAGAAGATCTGCAAAATTACACATAAGCTTCTAGCCATTGAGTAAATGAAGGTGCTAAGTAATTGTCACGCCACAACCTGCAAAGGCAATATATGTAACTGGTGGTAATATAGCCCGTTACTATTTTGTTGGTAGAGACGTGTCTCGTGGACCTACCACTTATTTCTTCACCACTTCAATTATGTATATGTTTTTCATGTATTTCACCTCCTTATAGATATTATACTAATCTTTTTCTATGAATTCATGAGTAATAAATAAGTCATGAAATGTTTCCGGGGCATCTCACTTCGGTCAGGACCAGCACTATTTGGGCCGCCCGTATGGACTACGCACATGTCCAATTGACACTCCGCCATCGCCAAATCGCAAACTCTATCGCGCGCCCTGTCGCGCAGAGCGCTGACTGAGCAACGTGGGTTGGCCCACCTCTCCCTCTCCCTCCCACACGCCCACGCTCGTGTCTGCACCCTTGCCCACACCCGTGCTCGTGCTAGAGTTGGGGAAGAAGGCGCCTAGGGTTCCGACGAGCTCGCCGGCATTAGAGTTTAGCACCCTCTCTTCTTCTCTATCTCTAATGGGCTTAGAAAGGGGTTCTAGGGGAGGCAGGCCGGCCAGGTGGTAGGGACGGCGGTCGGGTAGTTTAGGAGCTCTAGCGGCGTTGGAGGCGGCCGGGCCAGGTCAGGGCATGGGCAACATGGCCGGAGCTCGCCGTGGCGGGAGGGGGAGGGGAAGAAGACGGCCGCCGCGGGCACGCTAGGGTTTGCTAGAGCTCCGCAGCCACGGTCGCCGCCGCGGAGCTCCGACGAACCCTAGCGCGCCGTGGCAGGGCGGTGGGCGGCGCCGAGGGCCAGGACAAGGAGGATGGCGGGGTCGAGGTCGAGCGTGACGAGGGATAAGAGAGTCTAGGGCGAAGACGACACGAGGTGGAAGAATGTCGCATTCTCCCCCAGCGCACGATAGGTCTCGGCATAACCGTGTCCTTATCAAATACCATAGATTATATAAGGTTGAGAGAAGTCAGAAAATTTTAAGTTTATTTGATAAACTTTATAAAAAAGACCAATAATATTTGCAATATCAAATGCACATTATTACATCCAATATGAAATTTAATCCAATAACTTATTTGCTGAAGTATATGTTAAGATTTTCTGTAATATCTAGAATTATGATGTGTATGATGAAGATCATTAGCAATATAAGTATTAGCTGATGCAACATATCTCCTACTGTTATGATTAGCAACATCAACATGCGAATTCATAGCACATGCAAAATAGCAATTAGAATCATACGATGTATTTGCAAGCTGGGTAATTGTACTAGAATTGGGACGCAACACCATGGTACTCCACAATTTAGATCTTAACCGCCTTACTGATTTTTACATTAGTAAGAGCCACATGTTGCAAAAGCGAATCAAAATCACAAGGTGTCAAAACTAGATGCGATCGACTTTTTAGGCCAGATGCAACGGTAATGTTGAGCACAAGAAGATATATCAATCAGGAATATGACTAGGGCAAAGAGGTTCGGCTACAACACAATCATTCCCTAGCGGAGTCCCCAAAAAGTGTGTTGACGTGAAGATATGATCGGTCACACACCACAAGTATTAGATCGCACGGGTCGCACACGGACCGAGGGTAGTGCGATTCTACCAATTTCACAAATTGGCCTAGCCAGTTTTTAAAAATTGGCCTTGTCAGTTTTCTCAGGTTGACCCGAGAACACCTATGGCAGTTGATATCACACTACGTGGTGAAGAACGGCAAGGTTTACGAGTAAACCACCAAAAGATAACCAATCGTGTTTACGTGATGAAGAATGATTAGTTTCCAAGCAAACTAGCAAAGGAACCATCAAAACTCTCACCCGGGAGGGACCCGGTCGTGGCAAGGACATCGCCCGGTTCCCTAGGTCAGCCAAGCCTAGGCCACCATCCTTGGTCATCGGATAAGTGATGTATAGTAACATGGAGGTTGGAAGAGATTATTATGGTAAAGACAGGTAAAGTAATTTGTATTCAATTCGATTGTGTGTGTTAGGCACTTCAATCAGCCTTGCCTCTTATATTTATAAGAATGGGATGATCTTATCCCACAAGGGGTTGAAAACCCTTGTAAAATATGTCAAAATACAATTTAAATACGATCTGGACTGTCAAAACCAACTTAGCTGGCTTTTGGAGTCCAGGGCAAAAACCTTCTGAAAATCATAATTAATTTATCCGCACTCCAAATGAGATGATCCATGTATATCTTTGGATCAGCTCGACAAGAGGAATACAACGTGAATCCATTCTTAAATATGAGGAAGTTGGAAATCCCGCCTAGCCATGGGTCAGTCCCCTAAATTACGTTTTCTTCATCTGGACTCTAAATTGGACGATCTATGTATGTTTTCTTATCACCATAACTATAGGAAACAATTTTGGTTCTCTACAGTATGTTTATTAAAAACCATAATGTAAAAAATAGAGCAAGGAAAAGAAATGTACGTCAGATTAAAAAGTAGAAAAACCATGTGATACCCTAATACTAGTATCTGTCAGGGGTGTGTATGGATAGGTATAGCCGTATAGGCGGATTAGATGGATTATTTGATCACCCGACAAATGCGCTTATTATATGATTTGGATCGGATGGGTAGGGGTGGGTTGCTAGATCCATGGACAGGCCTAGTATCTATAGAGCCTTCGAATAAATCGCTTAATCTAAACAGCTATGATTCAACACTCAAAATATCAACTAATTATATATATATATATATATATATATATATACATAAACATCGAGATAATACAGTGACGTATGTAATTAAGCATAAAAACAAATAGTACTGTTTAGGATGGCAATACATCCATCCATGGCAAGAAAGTAGCATGAAAAATTACATCGGGAACCTTGGGCTTGCTATATATATTTCGTTCATGATATTCATGCTCCCTCATCAGCAGAGACGGGTGTAATTTCCATGAACGTCTTGAGCTGTTCGTCAGTGTTTTGAGACATGCATGGCCTAACAATTCGGGTAGGTCCCGAGTGGGCACTGGTGATCATTGCTGGGAGGTCCATTCCTCCCATCAGTTGCAGCGATGAGTGCCCGAATTTGCCTCGGTGACACAGTTGTACCGTAAGATGCATCCTTTGCCATGTCGTCCCTTGGCGTGCAGGTACAGAAGTTGACAAAAATCAGGGCTGCAAAGATGAAGACGCCCAGCTTCATTGTTGTGACTCCAATTTCTTCTGAAACATACAAGGTAATTGGGTCTCTTAAGTAAGGTAAATATTTCTCTCAAAAACAAAAAACTGAACTCTTAATACAAAGGAAAATTTTGGTACTTACTGAGATCTGATGAGCAAATTACAAGAACTGAAAGGCTTTTGTGCAATTTTGTTTAGTAGAACAAGAAGTGATGGGCTACTTATAGGGGGTAAAAGTCTACTGTGGAAAATGGAATCTCCACTGACAAAGATTGTGTCGACAAAAGGAAGTGGCGAAAATAAATCCCTTATGACTTGAAAGCTAAGGTAAATAGTGGATGCACTTATTTTCTGGATTATGACACAAGACACAAAATGTACTTATTGGGAGGATTCTAATTATTACCCCAAAACTGGAATATTAAGAGGGTCAGAGAGTAAGCAAAAATTGCACTTCCTGAAATTTTCAAATTAATTATAGGTAAGTTGCAGAGATTCAGGAAAATAAAAATGGTAACAATAACTGAAAATTGACAAAAATTTGATCTAGCGGTGGATTTATTTTATATAGATATACTAAAGAACTCATTTTTGCTCCGGTAACCATTGTAACCAGCTGAACAAATCAATCATTTTCAAATTTCATCAATTGCGACGGTGAAATTCATTCATAATACAATATTTTTTACCACTGCTAGTGATGTGTATTTTCAAATGTCTTGTCAAGCTAATGTGGTGGAAAAGGTGCTTCCATCGCATCGTAGAACCTATGACACTGATTTTGTTTATAAATCAATGGAAATATATTCCGCATAATAAGACAGCAAAAATGAAAACCACTATACACTAGTACACAGACCACTCTTTTACCATGGGTTGGCAAAGGTCATCACCGCCGGTTTAACCCGTCATTGGTGAAAGGACCATCCGCCACGCCTGGTTGCCCTGTTGGGGGCCGCCCTACCGCGCACGGGCTGTCTGCCCGCATCCAGCCATCGTGGATCTGCACCCGCGCCTGACCGTGTCGAATCCAAAGCTGTGTCACACCTCAAAATTTCTCATTTCGGATTGTGCATAGAAAACACTAAATAAAATAAATTATTTTAATATTTGATAAAATTTATCAAGTTCAGTTTGAGCTAGCGCAAATTTAGTTATAGAAAAATATGAATTTTTAAAGTTTTATAATTTTGACGGGCGTTTGGATGATATGATATTTGCTTGTTGCTTCTTTGTGTGTTGAGAGTGAGCAAAGTCTTTCATTTCCGGCCTTTATCATTTTCTATATTCAAATTCTTTGTTTCTCGGCTCAAGTTTTCGTTGCAAACTTCCTAAAATCTTTTCTTTGTAACGCAAATCACTCCTTTTAGTTCCCCATCCGTCAATCATTATGTACAAACTTCTCAGGAAATTTTCCAACTTTTTTTGAACTTGTTCCTACTTGTCTGTGACCATAATTTAATTTTTAAATGCACCAAATTATCTTATCATGGGCTTCAAATATTTTATTTGGGTTCTCTATGTTCCATAATGTCTCTGAGAATTTTCCTAGAATTTTTAGAGCTTTCGGAGTATTTTTCGCGGCTTAAATAATAATTCTAGACTTTTCTAGAATTATTTTATCCACGAAATTAATTAATTCTAAAAATAATAAATCTCTCAATTTTTTCAACGCTCAATGCCCACGTGCAATAATCCTAATAAATCATAAAGGCCCACGCATTTATTTACTAATGTGATTTAATGATTATTTAGACTCATTAGTAAATATTGATGGTGCAACATCAATTAGTACCATATTACTAGTTGATGTAGATGTGGGAAGTTTTTCTCCCTATAAATATGTACCAACCCCTTGGACAAAGCACACCAAAACTACGTAAGGGGAGCTCTTAGTTTGGAAAATCGCTAATGTAGTAAATTAGATTTTTCTCCTCTCCATGTCGCCGCCGGCCAATCCCGATGACTATCTCCGGCAAGCCACCGTTCCGCAGCTCTGAGGTTTAGCCAGCCTGCCTCCATCGTCGGGGTGGTGTGTGCCGTTCATCTCCAGCCAGGTCATGCAAAAGCCGCATCTCGATCTCTACTAACACCAGGACGCCCCTATGAGCGGAAGCAAGCTGCCATGTCTTCCGTGCACCCTTTGCCAATGCTCGATCTTCATTGCCGTGAATCTGCGAGCCACCGAGCATCCTATGAAGGTACATGTCCTACTTACCTGACCTGAATTGCTCTCTCTAACTTGCCCTGTTTTATCTCCTACTAGTCATCACGTGCCTTTGATTAAGCTTTTCCCAACAGGAAAAACTAGCTGCATCTATGCCTGACCGAGCTGCTGAGCTGCTGGTCTGCTCCCAAAACTCCAGAACCTTGCTGTCGTCACCTTCCTAGTGTCCAGAGCTCTCTGATACTTAAGATAAATCTACAAAGGTCGTCCCTCGTTACGTGCTAAGGTTTCTGCTGTTTCATCATTTTAAATCCTTTCAAGTTACATTGAGGTCGTAGTGACGTAATTTACATGTTATTGGCGTTGATCGTGTGGTATGTTTGTAAATTTTATAAATTAAATATTTAATTTAATTATTAATTGCATGCAATTGACTTTTGAATTAAAAGCAATATAAGTTTAATGTCCGCCTTTTATATGTCAAATGTTAACTTGATTAATTACAGCATTAATATGTTTTTAATTTGTAATGTGCTTAGTCTAAACATGTTTCAAACATAAAACTAGTTTAGATGCTCACTTGTTTACTTTCTTTTCATAAAAGAAATGTATTTGCTTATAGATGGTTCTCTAAACATTTATAAATAACATATAGCTAGATTTAACTCGGTAATTAACACATGATTTTGTTCAATTAAAAATAAAACATGCGCATAGTCTTTTCTTTTATCTTTTATAATATAAAACTTTGGTAGTCGTTTCTTTTTAACCGTAGACCTGTTTTTGGTGTTTTGTGATCTCGGGACCATAGCAACAAGCCCTTTCTTTTAATACGTTGTTTTATCTTATGTGGTGTACTGTTCTTAGTTGCTTGTATGTTTGCCTATGCATGGTACTTGCTATGAGTAGAATGAGAACCGTTTGTAAGCGCTGAAGATTAGAAGGTGATGACCAGAAGCAAAGTATGAGGAAAATGTGAGCAAGAGGAAAAGACAAGTGTAGCATGGGATCTTTCTTGTTGTCCTATACACTATTAATCACTTATTATACTGCATGTGTCTACCTTGAGTACCATTACGAATTTCCTAGTACTTTGTACCTCGTGCCTTGATATCTATGGGGTATTGCATTGGATAGTATGATGCTAGTGCTCAACTGCAACCATGATCTTGTAACTTGACTAATGGTATATGCAATAAACACTAAAAGATGCTTTTTAGCAACATAGAACAAGAGGGCTAGAGCATTGGGCCGTTTTTATGGTGCTCTAGATTCCTCTCCCTAAGGATTTATCTGTAAGCGAACAACCGGGACTTATAGTACAGCTATGAGGGCTACATAGCTCTATCTTTAGCTCAGTATGGAAAACTTTTCTAGCTTGTTAGTGGTTACCTTTATTGGCGTAAGAATGACCTGCCGAATCAAGTGTAGTGCGGCCTCTGTCCCCTTGTGTATACGCTGCACGTCATTGTGCCATCGGGAAGGGGGGGGTCTACATCTATTTGCCGAGTAAATCTAATGGCCCTAACTTGTTAGACAAACTTTTGAAAGGCTTCATAGTAAACCCTGCCGACCTTCCTTGGTAGTGGGTCAAGAGGCTGATCACCTCGAGCGAAAGGGTAAATCACGACTCATAGTGAAAGTGTACAACCTCTGCAGAGTATAAACTGGTATATTAGCCGTGCTCACGGTCACGAGTGGCCTTAGAACCCTTACGGAATAGATGAAGAACACGGATGATACTGATGATAAAGATGCTCACTAATAATTACTATTTATGCTATTCAATATTCATGTTTACATGATCATGTGTTTATATGGGCTTATGGATAAACTTGTTGCCACCCAATTGCTAAAAGATGACTCATTAAAAGCTAATCGTAGTTAAACCAGTGTCAGCCTTTTGAGCCTCATGAACCCCGTGATATATTTGTTGAGTACGACATGTATTTACGCTTGCTTTATTTTTTAATTATTTAGATAAAAATCCTGGATGGCTACCAGATTGCTAGAGTTTGGAGGAATTAGGCTTGTGATCAACCAGTCAGTTGTCCCTGTGGAATTGGAGTCTTCACCCGAAGATCAGAGTTGTCTTTTTCCGTTGTTTACTGTTTAAGGTTATATCCTTTATACTAAGTACGTTATATATTGAGTATTGTTTATTGATATTACCCTTATTTGTAGTTATATGTGAGATTTGACTTCCTGGCTCACATATGGAGTGTATCTGGTTTTATCCTTAAAATTGGGTGCTACAAGCTGCGTGCGACGGGGGATGCCTAGCCACCATGGATCTATGCCATAGGAGATGATTGAAAATGTGCTTTCTTGCATGTGTTCGAAGATGAGGTGGTGGCACGCACTTTGGAGGTCGGGTTACCTAGGGGGGTCAGAACATAAATCATGACGATCTTAGATACTAGCATGTGAAGTCCTAGCATACTAGTTAAATTGGAAAAACATAAAATAACGAAAAGCACTCTAATCGGAGCTATAACGAAAAAGTTATGAATTAAACAAGATTTTCTTTAATAAAATAATAGATTAAATCTAACCTTAAATTTCAAAAGTTGAAAATATATTTAATAGTAGTATAAACATGTAGATTACGCAATTACGAATCTAACACAACTTGAACAGGTCAAATCGGAGTGAAAACGGAGAAGATATGGCCCAATGAAAATAGTGGCAATTTTGTAAATATTTTGCAATCAATTTCATATTAGAAATAATTAAAAACTGAATTAAAACAGTCCTGTGGACCTGACGTCATTTTTGGAAAAACACAGGGGCTGAAACGGATAATCTAGGGGCATACGTTGAATTATTTTGAACTACGCTAGACGGCGGGTTCA